TGTCTATTCTTTCTACTCCCCTTCCCTTTTTCTTTCTTCGACCTTTAATGTCATTGCTTCTCTGTTTGACCATACACATACACAAAATACAAGCAACTATTCTTCCAGGATTGGTTAGAGATCAAGTGAGATAATATATGTAAGATTCTAGAGTATGAAGTTAACTCTTATTGATTAGGTGCTGATAACTACAGTACATTTGGTTAATTATGAAAGTTCTTGGGTAGCTAGGGATAAAGGTAGCTAGGGATAATTCATTTTACTGAGGAGAATGGTATAGGGCATAAGTTGGTAAGGAAGTTTTCCAATGGACAACTAAAATACACTGTTGTTACTTAACATAGGGAGAAGGCTAAATTATCTTTCATTATTTAAGATAACTTCCCTAGAATTAGGTATAAGGAATATATAAGTTAGAACTTCATTTAATTATCAGAATTTTCTAAGTTGTATCAAGTTTATAAAATGGGTATATTTTCATGGTGTTTCACAGATTTTTTCAGAAAACAAATTTTACTTAAGTAAATTCTAATTTTTCTGGTCTTGTCATTGCTGAAATTTGCAATGCTTTCTCTACCTATTGTGCAAATAAATTTGCTTTTAGATATCATGAACTTGAACACAGTGCTTTGTTAAGAGTATCTTGTTCCTTTTACCATGCTTGTTCTGCTTAAAAATATATAAATACACATAAACATTTGGCTTACAGTATTTGCTTTTAGCTATTTTACATTTTTGCCTAAAAACTCACAGATTTATATTGTTTTGTTTATTTTCTTAAATTTAGTTGAAGTTACAGAAAATTTTACGTGGAGGACCATTAAGGTCTATTTTAAATTATGAGATCAAGGATTGTTTTCTTTGTTTGCAGAAGGCTTGCCTTAGTGTAAGTTCCCCAAATACAAATGTCTCCAAAATACAAAAATCAAACTGGTGAGGGAATAAGCAAAAGTGAATGAATGAGTTCCAAATAAAATGAACTCAGAAGGCCTTGCAACTTGGTCATAATGAATATTCTGCTGGCTGAGGAATATGTAATATGTAAATGTGTGCAAATGATGATTTTTAAAAATGTTTCCAAAGATCCCTTAATACACTATACTATAGGGAACAAAACATGTTTTGAGTGATCTGTAGTTGATTTTTAAAGTTAATTGTAGTATGAGGATATTATGCAGAGATGTCAAATAAGTTGTAGTTTCCGTTTTAACACTTAACTGCTGATAATGACGTATTAGCTTAGAGTAGAACTAGACCAGATTTGGTAATTTTTGCACCCAACACCTTGTCTATAGCTAAAACTCAGTGATGTGCCAAAGGTGACATGGGCTGAAACTTAAAATAATTAGAAAAAGAGTCTGGTCTCTGAGCACATACACCAGGATTTTTTTCCCATTTCCCCATTGTTAGGACTTTATTATGTGAAAATTGAGTAATGTTAAGTGATTTTTATTTTTAATCCTTTATTTGAAATTATCACTGTATTAAAACAACAAAAGTACAGTAATTTGTGGGGGGGTTATAATATATGTACACAGGAATTGATTTTTATTTTTGTTTTTTATTAAGGGAAAATCTTACTCTAGAGTGAGGCAGCAGTAAGCAGGGACTTTAAATCTTTGCTTGTTTAGAAACTTTCACCAACATACGTATATTGACATTTAAAAAATTACCAAATAGAAAGAGTTGATCTTAAAATGTCAATCTTTATAATTTTGATTTGAATCTGGACATTATATAATGTAGAAATTCTTGGAGCTGATTTTGCATTCGAGTGCATGTTAATTATTATTTAAACACCGAGTTATTTTTTTCCCCAAGCATTCTAGCAGACTTTCATTTTTTTTTTAATTTTATAATAGTTTATTTTTACGTATTTTTGTACATTTTTCCATCTCAGTTGCAATCCCCTTGGCTTTCCCATCACCAAATCACCCATGTGCCATCACCACAGTCCAGTGCAAAGAAGCTTTTTTTTTTTTCTTTGACATCATATATATATTTTTTAATTATTACAAAAGTTTATTTTTACATCATTTTGCACATTTCTTTTTTTCCATTTCGATTGTAGTCCCCACAGGTTTCCCATCACCAAATCACCCGTGTGCCACCACCATAGTCCCTTGCATTTCCCTTCCTTCCTCTCCCCCTCCCCAGCTTTTTTTTTTTTAAAGGGGTGAATTCTTTTTTTTTTTTTTTAAAGATTTATTTATTTGTGCATACAGATCTGGGGTACAGGCCAGAGGCTCTGGGCAACGAGAGGCTTCACCAGAGACAGAGTGGGGAGCAGAACAGGCAGATCGACAAAGTACACTGCTGAGGGGAGCAGTGGGGCAGGTCTGCCACGCCATGTGGTCACCTCCAGGGAAGGCGAGAATTGAACTTATGCGGAAGTGGCTTTTAGCTTCTTAGTGCTGTGTTTTAACCCACTGCACACCGGGGAGGGCCTCATTACCAGGATTTTTAATGGAGTTAATTTTTCTCTTTCTGCACTTTATTCCCTTATTATTTTTATTCCACGCACACAATGTTTAACTGCTCAAGGGAAACAGTCTTGCATTTTCCCATAGTTAACCTGGGATGACCAAGGTTTTGGCAGTACTTTGCCTCTTTCCTGACCATATATAACTATTAATGTTCACTAATCTAGTGCTAATTGCAGTATTTTATTTTTCAGCAGTGCCCAGAGAAATCAGTTGGTCCACAGATTAAATTAATAAAATTTAAGCTCCCTTGAAGGGTTAAGTCTCTTGAGATTTGTTTTGACACCAGGTAGGTTCCTTCTGGCTGGCTTGCTTTCTTGTTCTCTGTGGCAAACAAAACCAGGCTACAGTTTATCTTCTGTGCCCAGCGATACCTCCAGTCACCTGTTAGTTAACTTCCACAACTCTCATCAGTTTTACTCTGTGGTTTTCAGATCATCTTTGCCCATTCTTTTGGAAATAGTCAGTATTTTTCTGGGAAAGAAATTTGAAGTGCACTGTTTTGAAGTGCCTCTCTATAGGCAGTATCACTCAACCAAGTCTCTGAAGTATGGAGTGGGGACAGTGATGCATTTCTGTCTGTGACAGAAGCTGAGCACTTGGTTGGTGGGGAAAGGAAGAGGAATATTAACCTCAGGTCTTCTTGACTTGGCTATCCCAGTGTGGAACTTTACAAGTAGGAACAAGGGCATTCTGTGTTCCAGCAGCACCACACCCGAGGCGGAACCAATCTCAGGGACTACATGAAAGAAGGAAACCTATTCCAATTTTGGCCACATAACACCTGGGAACTTAGCTTCAAAATAGGTAGCTTTTCCTACTCTAGTGTAAAGAAAACAGAATGAGAAGTGTTGACTCCCTGCCCTTCCCAGTAAGATAGATCCCTGAGTGGGACCTAGGGGGAAAAGAAGACATGTAGTCTTGTCTGCTATCTGGCTTGGAATTTCCAACCTCTGAGCAGCAAGGATTGAGCAAGAACATATCCTGGTTTAAATATGATAACTAACTATAACAGTTCTAATAGTACATGTTCTTCATTAGCTCTGTGCCCCAATAACCATTTCCATATATTTTAAGTGAGTGTTCTTTATAATTTTCACCATAAAACAAATCTGTTAAGTTCTTCAAGCTATAATGCTACAACTTTTTTCAATTAATGACTTAGTCTCTACTGGTTATAGGTCTTTTTGTTCAGTCAGGCTTGGTAGTATGTTTAGAATTTCATACATTACTCTAAGTTATCTAATTTGTTGGTAATGCATACTATTCCCTTCTTATTTCTCTAGAGTCTGTATTAGTATCTCCACTTTCATTTCTGATTTTAGTCTTTGAATCTCTACTTTCTTTGATCATTCTAGCTAAATACTTTGTCAATATTGATCTTTTCAGAGAATCAACTTCTGTTTTAATTCTTTTACTTGTTCTTCTGTTCTCTGTTTCACTTATGTCCCCGTTAATTTTTGTTACTTCTTTCTTTGTATAAACTTTGGGTTTTTCTTCTGATTCTTTACAGTATAAAGATAGCTTATTGATAAGAGTTTTTCCTTTTTTTTTTTTAAAGATTTATTTATTTATTTATACAGAACTGGGGTACAGGCCAGAGATGCGGAGGGTGAAAGGATTCACCAGGGACAGAGTGAGGAGCAGAACAGGAGGATCAGAGGAAGTACACTGCTGAGGGGAGCAGTGGGCGGGTCAGGAGAGGTCTGCCGAGCCATTTGGATCTCCTCCCGGGCAGGCGGGGATCGAACTCATGCATAAGTGGCTTAAGCTTCTTAGTGCAGTGCTTTAACCCGCTGCGCCACCAGGGAGGGCCTTCCTTTTTTTTTTTTAATAACTATAGATGTTTACTCTGCACATATCTCTCTGAATGCTACTTTTGTTTCATCCTGTAAATTTTGGTATGTTTTCTCATTTTGTCTCAGTATTTTTAAATTTTTCTTGTGACTTTTGCCCATTGATTACAAAGATGATTTTTTTTATATACTTGCCAAAATATAGTTTTCTTCTTTTATTTTAGTTTTATATCATTGTATTAGAGAAGATACTTTGTATGACTTCTGTCTTATAAATTTACTAGAGATTTGCTTTGTGATCTAACATATGGTCTAACTGGAGAATATTCTGTGTGCTGAACATATATTCTGCTGTTGGTGGGTGGATTTTTATGTTCACTTGTTACATTCATCATTGATCTTCTTGCTGGTTGTTATTTTATAATATTGATCTCTCAGATATTATCATAAACTATTTTCGGTGCTGTTAATTTTTACTTGACAAAAGTTAGTGCTTTTATTATTTGTTGTATTGCTATGTCTTAATGGATTGACAATTTCATCAGTATAAATTAAATTTGTTTAGCTTTCAAGTATTATATGCCACGAAGGTTTATGGTTTCATTTCTTAAATCTTCATATATTCCCTCATAATCTAATTTGGGAAACATAAATACTTCTCTCCTTGTTATTCGCTCAGTTAAGCTTTTTGATCAGTAAATAAAACTTCTTTTCTTTGTAGTAAAGTGCTCAGCTGTGTAGGATATCACATAAATCGTGGAAGACTACCAATAAGGGGTAATGTCTCGGGAGCCCACCCCACCCCTCCCTGGAGAAATGTCTACTGGTCCTATAGCAGAAAGCTGGTGTTATACACAGGTACATGCTGTTAAAAAACAAAAAAAAACCTTATTTTGTATCCGTGAAACAAACTTATATTTTTATTACATATTAATTTTTTTTTTTAAAGATTTATTTATTTGTGCACACAGAACTGGGGTATAGGCCAGAGGTTCAGTTCACCAGAGACAGAGTGGGGAACAGAACAGGCAGATCGACGAAGTACACTGCTGAGGGGAGCAGCAGGCGGGTCAGGAGAGGTCTACCACGCCATGTGGTCCCTTCCGGGGCAGGAGGGAATCGAACTCATGCGGAAGGGGCTTTAGATTCTCAGTGCTGTGCTTTAACCCGCTGCGCCACCAGGGAGGGCCCTACATATTAATTTTTTAAGATTTATTATTTATACATATAAGCACTGGGGTCCAGTTGAGAGGTGTGAGGGGTAAGAAGATTTACCGGAGACAGAGTGAGGAACAGAACAATGAGATGTACTGAAATACACTGCGGAGGGCGGGTTAGGAGAGGTCTGCCACGCCATGTGTGTCACCTCCCTGGCCAGGAAATAAACTCATGGTGCAGTAGCTTCAGATAGCTTCATAATGCTGTATTTTAACCCATTGTGCCACCAGGGAGGGCCCACATACCAAATTTTTATAATATTTTAAGAATATATGGTAAAGCACTCTGGGATAATTATTATAGTATTTAAAGAGTGTGTTGATATGTTTAACATATAGCAGATTAACAACCTAAAAAGTCCTTAACTTTTTTAATCTCAGGTTAAAGTGGTAAAATTTTCCTACATGTGGACGATTAATAACTTCAGTTTTTGTCGAGAGGAAATGGGTGAAGTGTTAAAAAGTTCAACATTCTCATCTAGCCCCAGTGACAAAATGAAATGGTAAGATTTTTGTTTTGTTTTGTTTTGTTTTTGTTTTTTCTGATGTTATCTTTGGTGACTATATGGTTTTGTGGTAATGTCCTAATTGGGTATTAGTCCAGGAAATATTGATTGGAATGTTGTTTTTATTATTTAGAAAATTATTTTAGTACTGATTCTCTTTTGAATGTTTAAAGTATATTCCTCCACATAAGTCTGTTATTTTATTTCAGGTGCCTGAGGGTAAACCCAAAGGGATTAGATGATGAAAGTAAAGACTACTTGTCATTATATTTGCTTTTAGTCAGCTGCCCAAAAAGTGAAGTGCGAGCAAAATTCAAATTTTCCCTTTTGAATGCTAAAAGGGAAGAAACAAAGGCAATGGGTAAGTGGCTTATTTGAAAACTAATTGAAGTTTCTGTGTAACACCACACTTTGGCTTCCAGTTTTACCTAGACAAACTTGGATTTTTTTTTTTCCACTAAAATTTGCTTACCAAAACATTGGCCAGCCTTTAATTTTAAGTGATAAGATAGAGCTTTAGTTGTTTTACTACATATTAGGTTTTCTAAAATATGTAAAATTAGGTTAAAACTCAACTTTTTCATGCCCTAATATGATACTTGTGCATTTGGAAAAATAGTTGCTATTTGGGGAAGGTACCTTTTTCAATGTCTAGCATATACAATATATTCAATAAATATTTTTCTCCTCTTCCTTGCTGTTGATGCCAGCTAAAAACTGAAGACAGTGTGAAAAGAGATTTTGGTTGTCCTGGTATTTTGTTATTAGAAGTGTTTTGAGCAGTGACTAAATACTGACTGAAAGGGAATCTGTTTATTCTCAGCCTCAGAGCCTGTTGAATTCAGTCTAAGCTTTTCATAGGTTGCTAGCAGAAACCATGTAGCCTGAAGCTATATAGCAGGATGTTGTAGGAAATACATAGTGAATAAGAAAAAATATTGTGAGCTGCCATGTTAAATTTAAGTGTTTTTTTAAGAACTGAATCACAGAATCTATTAATGTTATAAAACAACCTTCTCCAGACAGATATTTTAAAAGAATACCTTTTACTGCCAAAGTAATATAGTTTCACATGTATTTTTATGTTGTCTAACATTTAAGGTAGTAGAATACCTTAGTCCGGTTGTATAACAAAGTACCGTAGTATTGTTAAGTGTTTTCAAACATTTATTTAACATTTTACAAATTTCACTAAAATCCTTTGGACTTCAATGAAAGTTGCCCTTGCAAGTGAGAGGATTATATTTAGAGCTGTGGGAATGAGGGACATTATTTACCTTTTTTATTTTTTTAACCAGTAAATGGTTTTTTCCTAGTTTAATAAAACCTGACTATCCCAACAAAACTGAACAGATGCCAGAGATTTAAAGCATCCATTTTTAAAGGGAGAAATAGTTACTGATAAGTATCAGGATTTAGTTATGTTCTGATAGTAAATGAATAGTATTCCTATACCAAGGAATTTTGGTCCTACTTCATTGTTTTTTTTTAAAGATTTATTTATTTATTCATACAGAACTGGGGTAGAGGCCAGAGATGTGGAGGGTGAGGATTCACCAGAGACAGACCAGGGAGCAGAACAGGCAGATCAACGAAGTACACTGCTGAGGGGAGCAGCAGGCGGGTCAGGAGAGGTCTGCCACGCCATGTGGTCACCTCCCAGGCAGGCAGGATCGAACTCATGTGAAAGTGGCTTTAGCATCTTAGTGCTGTGCTTTAACCCACTGCGCCACCAGGGAGGGTCCCTACTTCATTATTAAAGTGCCTGAATTGCTAGAAAGACCTCTTCTTTCTCCGAATTTTCTTCCATTTAGAGATCCTGAAATCTGAAAGTAAGCTCATTGATAATGGTCAAAACTTGAATACTGCTGTGGAGTGATCTGATTCTACCTGAGAAAGCTCTAAAGACATTTTATTTATGAACAGACATGTTTACATTTAGGATGGCTATCCTGGCTAAATTCTATTTCTGTACATTTTATTTAACTGTGTTGTCATTAAGAAAAATGGTTTTTATACACTTGCTTCATTCAAACTTATATTCTATTTTCCACCAGAAAGCCAAAGAGCATATCGGTTTGTACAAGGGAAGGACTGGGGCTTTAAAAAATTCATCCGAAGGGATTTTTTGCTTGATGAAGCTAATGGTCTTTTACCAGATGACAAGCTTACATTATTTTGTGAGGTGGGTACATTTTTTTATTTCAAGAAACTCAGATTTCTTTAGCGATGAAGTAAAAACATAAACTAGAATCATGTTAGGAATACTGAGGTGTTAGGGAATTACTATGGAACAATTGATATTAACTAATGGAGAAGGCTTCATCTGTTAATATTTTACTACTTAAAGCTGATTAGACTAAGAAATCAGTAGTGCAGTGTGAAAAAATTCTATCATGCCTCTAACTATAAATTGTATATAGTTATATTACCACATAGTACTTCTTCCTTCTAGGAAGATTATGGATATGTATATATTTATTAAAAATTTTAAATGTTTTCTTATTGCAAATAACTGGCATAGTTGTTCACTATTTTCTGTCATATTCAGATTGATGATATTAAGCATTGTTAATAGTTTATTGATTTGAAACTGAATTTAACTGGTTGTAAAAGTGCCTGGAAAAGGTTGAGAAGCCTTCTGTTTGTTCAAGCAGATCACTTCTTTTAATCAAATCAAGTTAGCATTCTAAGCAGTAGTATCTCAAATTTTAGATGTGCCCATGTTTGTTGACAAACTTATGGGGTATTTATATATTTTTTAAATGTGTTGTGTTTTGAAAATTTCAGCATTACCCCATCCATACTTTCTACTTCCAATTTGTTTTAATTTGAGGTATAGATTCACTTCTGTCATTATCATCATTATATAGTTTTATCTATACAAAATTTTTTTTTAAAGATTTATTTATTTATGCATACAGAACTGGGGTAAAGGCCAAAGATGCGGAGGGTGAGAGGCTTCACCAGAGACAGAGTGGGGAGCAGAACAGGCAGATCGATGAAGTACACTGCTGAGGGGAGCAGCGGGTGGTTCAGGAGAGGTCTGCCACGCCATGTGGATCTCCTCCGGGGCAGGCAGGGATCAAACTCATGCGGAAGTGGCTTAAGCCTCTTAGTGCAGTGCTTTAACCCGCTGCGCCACCAGGGAGGGCCATCTATACAAATTTTTAAGATCCGTCTTTGGAGTAAATTTGAAGACTATATTATGGTTAGTTAAAAAGGTTATGATCAAGTAAATTAAACAGTAATATATTTCAGATTATTATAGATAAATGAGTGACTTAGAATCATAATGACTTTTTAACTTCTAACTTGGTTTTAATCTATAAAATAATAGTATAATTTTGGGTAAAATTGCAAACTAATTGTATGCCATTATGCTGTGTCAGAAGAATAATTGAAATATGGCCCTAGAGATTACATGGTGCAAATATAGTGCATCTTATTTTCACTTAGACAAGTTAAATGAACTGTAGGATGAATTTGTTATGAACACAATTATTTGGTTGATAAAGCACATACCACAAGTGTCTTGAACAGAGTTTATCATTGAATAACTGAGATGAAAAAATGCTAAAGCATGTGTTGCCAGTAGATGCTTTAACTAGTATTTGAAATAACTAGATTTATGCTATTTAAAAACTTGAGCATCCTTAATATAGACTCTTTCAGAATGTTAGCAGTAAGCTTAAATTTCAGCATGTTAATTTTTTATGGGATCTTAGAATTTAAAAGAACCTTAAGGGATATGTAATCAAATTAAGGAAACTCTACTATACTGGAAGTATTTTTGTAATGCTAGTACAGATATTATTTCTTTTTTTTATAAATTATAGTACTGTTTACAGATATTTTCCTAAGCATATTGTGTTAGAACCCAGACAACTAATAAATTCAGAACAAAGGCTGATATAAAGATCTGTTTTTGATATATTTTATTAAAGTATGCTTTTTATTCACATGTTAGATTATACATGCAAGTGATCGCCTAAAAGTAGAACCTACCATGACATACGTTTTTAAGTTGTCATTGATCAAATTCAGTTTTGAATACTGAAATGTATACTTTTTACCAATGTAGATGTTTACACCCCGGGCACCATATTTAGCATAGGTGGGCAAAAAGTACTTTGAACAAACATTCCTCATGCCCTCCACCTTCTCTTCCACCCCTCTCATGGATGCCCTTCCTTCTACAGCATCTCCAGCACTGCTTGCAGAAGAGGAGGAAGCATTGCACTGCCCTACCTAAAGAACTGCCTCCTCCCCCTCCCCTGCAAGTGGTGCTGTAGACAGGTAAGGCAGTTTGGCGTTACCCTTTTTGTGCAAGAAATAGCTTAATCTTGCAAATTCAGTACTGTGAACTAAATAGCTAGTGGTAGAAATTTCTAGACATTTAAGCAGCTCTGCCCCTTCTTTCCAAAGTGATACAAGAGATCATAATCAAGGGGTAATAGGAAAAAAAGAAAACTATAGATGACTTGTCTTGAAATTGAACAATTTTTAAAAATCTTGAAATCTACAAAACCATGCAATTCTATGATATACAGGAAAAAGCATATGTAGAGTTAGAATATATGATGAGTTTTAAATTATATTCATTCTGAAGGACATACTTTCCCTCCTCCCCTATACTTATGTTAATGATTGTAAGTTGAGCTTTATTTTCTAAAAAAACTCTTTATAGAAAAATGAAGGATTGACATTTCATTTCTTTTATCCAAATTCCATAAAGGATGGTTATAAGGACCACTGTTCTAGAAGAAAACAAGAAATTTCAATGGAGCCATTGACTCAACAAAATTTATAGAGCTACATCCCCAGCTTACATACTTAATTTGGAGAACTGAAATTTTTAAAAATTGGAGCTAGCAGTCATCTTCATATTTGGGAGACCTATTATTTCTGAAGTAGTCACAGTTGATTAGAGTCAGCATATGTCCATATTTAGTCTAAATTATATTCTCCCATCCAAGTAAATTATATTCTCAGTGTTGAACCAAAAGCCATTTTGAAAAAGAGTTGTCAGTTGATTCTGCATTCTGCTTTTGTAGTATCTATCAATTTTGAGTATTGTGTGTTTTGATTTAAAAGAACAGTTTAACCTCAGGGAAGAATCTCAGCCTTTTTTCTGAATTTCTCAATACATGTATCTATTTTAAATATAATGTACATGCATGTGAATATCTACTATGAAGAACCAGAATGTTACCAGTTTCTTAATTAAAGGTATCAAGAAAATAATCATCAAAATTCACTTCATACTAACTTTTAATTAAACCATTAATATCTGCTGCATAAGCCCTTAGATTCTCTTTGGCATATCAAGTGTTAATAATGTCTTAGTTAAAACATGTAGTCAATATGATAATACTATATAGATGTGTTTGTCAAAAATATAAATCCTTCTGAATTAGATGATCATATATGCTAAGTGTAAATACAGCATTTTGACTATCCTTATCTGATAATGGCTTTTATTTGATCCATTTGTTTTTTTTTTCTTTCATATTTTTTACATATTAATTTGAGTTAGGATAATAGGTAACAGGATGCACTTAAGAAATCTTTTCCTGAGGTAAAATGTTATATTTATACAACTTCACTGCATACCTTATGCAAGTAATTGAACTGATATAAATCTTACCATCTTGAAATTTCAAGAGCACCGGTTATATAAGCAAATAAATATTATGTAATAAATAGTAAAGATTTTCCCATTTTGTAGTCAATAAAATTTTACAAACAGGGCCCTCCTAGGTGGTGCAGCAGGTTAAAGCACAACTCTAAGAAGCTAAAGCCACTTCAGCATGAGTTCGATCCCGCCCTGGAAGTGATCCAAATGGCAGGGCAGACCTTTCCTGGCCCACCCACTGCTCCCCTCAATAGTGTACTTTGTTGATCTGCCTGTTCTGCTCCCCACTTTGTCTCTGGTGAATCCTCTTACCACCCCTGCATCTCTGGCCTGTTCCTAGATTCTGTATACATAAATAAATCTTCAAAAAAAAAAATT